TAAGAGCCGATTGCCTGGGGCATGTACAGCGCATAAATAATATAAAGAAACTTTTTGTCAAAGCGCACCCCAAGTGACACTCGAGGCGCACCCTTTCTGATAAGGCCAAGCACAAGCAACAGCCGGAGCTGGAGGCGGAGGCGGAGCGGGCCAATAACAAAATCAATATTAATTTTATATCGGCATCGAGGCCAGTATTGCCATTGCCTTTAAATTAAAACTGAAAACTTGGCTTGATGGCGACTTGCCAATACTCTAATTGATTCGGCTCAGTAAATATTGGCCCGCTCGTGGCTCTAATTTTAAGCCCAAACAGAACCAATCAGAAACGACTCACTGATTTCTTAGATGGATTGCAAGTTATGCGGAGCGTATCTATTGCTGCAAGACTGTAAATCCCTTCGAGGAGTTTGCAGTGCGACAACGGAGCCCTTCAAAGCAAAATGTTGTTTTCCAACTTTGTTACAAAAAGTTTGGAACGTGGCACAGCTGCGGCTTTGGCGGCGCTTGTTGTTGTTGTTGTTATTTACTATTAAAGTTGCAAGTGTCGCAAACAGTTTGCGTCCACTTTAATGGGATTTTTCTTTCAATTTGCATTCCGCAGTCAGGGACTGCAACATAGATTGACTATTGTCAAGTTTATTGCCAACCACAACTATTTCCATTTTCATTGACCGTAATAAGCCTTATTTGCAATTAAATTTATTCAATTGCCGCGCCAAATGCGCCAATTTGCGTCGCACATACACAAATAAACACAAACACGCACACAGATCCTTTATTGTTTTCAGGGCAGTCCGGTGGACTGGCCAATTGTTTTTGGCGTTTTCACATGTTTAATGCAAGCAATCAACATTAAACTAGGATTAGACAAGCGGCGGCCACCGAAACCACATTATATTTGTGGGTCAACGTATGATACGCACAACCACACACACACACACACGCACACATACCCACAACGCAGCAGCTGCTACTGTCACATTACCATAATTTCATTTGCAACAGATGCGGAGTCCAATTGCCAACAGTCGACATGCATAGTTCCATTTCGAATTTCATTGCTCGATTCAAACTCACTCGCAATGCTAGAAGTGATACACAAATTACGTGTATTGCACGTATTATAAACAAAATTATACTGAGCTGTTGATTTGCCGCGTCAGCTTCACTCACTTAGTATATATGTATGTATTTATTTATGTAAATATTCATCAGTTAATATCTATGGCACTATAAATAGCTGCACAATCGACTTGAGGAGGAGTTCTGCACGGCACAATGGACGGAGGCTCTCTCATTAATTAAGTTCGAATTCAGCTTCTTTTTCTGCCTTGCCTGCTGCGATGAGTCTCATGCTGCATGTGGCGCTCAGTGGCGTCGAGCGTGAGGCGACTTAATTCTGCCATTGAGGTATAGTTTACTTACCTTGCAACGCCTCTGTTGCCAGCAATACAATCAGCATGACGATGACGTTGCCACTAGCGACGCTCAATCTTGTTGAGTAAGCGCCACTAATTTGTTTTTTAAGGCCAACGGACACTGCCCGCTTTCTCCTTTGCATGCCCCTTTCTTCCCATTGGATGTCTGGCGTCGGGGCTGTTGCTGCGCTGGTGGCATGCATAATTTATTGACCGTAAATTCGCATCGAATTGTGTTTGCACGTAAATGAGGCTGTGAGCCCCAGCACTTTGTTGCGTCCTTGCTCCAGCTTTGTTGAAGACCAGCAAGCAAATACACTTTTAACAAGCAGACAAGCCACTAGGACCAGAAAGTCTCAGCTGATGCATATACACATCTCAAAACCTGCTGGGTGCATCCAACTTCAAGAATTCTCAACTCAAACTCAACGATGGCCATGCAATTTCGCCATTAAAAATCATTAACAACAGGTATTTTATACCTGCCTGCCTAGCAAGATGAAGTTTCATTTTTGGCCACCAGCTGCATGCTTTTACCTACATATTGCATGCTGCATACTTTTTGGCACCAGCCAAGTATTTTCATTAAAAGAGCAGGCAGCAGGCGATGACATTGTAGCAATACCCACACATACAAAGCATTCCAGCAATGTTCCTTGCCAACGTGGAACATCGTGCAGTTGCTTTGATATTTTCACTGCCAGCACAACAGAGATTGCACATGAGTCCAAGTGGGCCAAACATAGAGCGGCTGTCCCAGTTGGATCTAGAGCAGATGAGGCAAGGTGCTGTTGCATGAACAACCCGTGACGACTAAATACGCGAAATACCATTAAGATATCTCAGAGTGTTAGAGTGCGTCAGTTGCAGGTACAAATAGCACTAGTAGTAAAAAGGAGACATCCCGTTTTCCACAAACAACAGAATGAACAAAACAATTGAAAAGTGGCACAGTTGACAGGCATTTGCCTGGAGCATTATAGAGATCTCAGCATTATATGCTACTATACAATATGTACTTCATTGTTAGTGGGACAAAAGTATCTCAAAAGTGTCTTAAACCGGATCATCGTCACGTTGCCGAGCGACATATGATGTGTGGGAAGGCCTTTTAGAAGCCATTTTAAACATATACCATCATTATCCTGCTCGGCATTCGAAATAAGGTATGACTGCAACTGTGGCAAATAAAGGCCCAAATAATCATAGGATTGCTTGAAATGAGTTGCAAAGCAGAGCAAGTATTAGATAAATCCATAGCCAGCAAAAAAATGAATTAACTCGGTAATTATCAACAAAATGATGCGACAAAACTTTGCATATAAATCGAATTGCGTAGTCCAAAACAACACACAGAAACCGACAACTGTCCATAATTATGAATGCAGCAAGCCACAGAACCGCAGAATTTTGTAATTTGGAGTGAAGTCTGCACCACATCCGGCTGTGCTGCATGGTTTGCGCTAATTTCTGATTTTGTTGCCATAACATTCTACATAGAATGTGTCATTAAAACATACAATTGTCATGCAAATTTAAAACAAAAAAACTTATAAAATGTTTTGCAAACATTTCATTAACAAAAATGTATGGCAATTAGGGCCACAAAAATGCAATTAACTGCGCACGCAATTACCAAAACTGTGTGAGTGGTGAACATTAAATTTGTTTTGGTCAAGAGACACTTGGCGACGTCTATGAATATCCATTTTTAGGAACAGGTGTAGCACTCCACACGCAGCACACATCAAATGCAGATAGGCAAAAATGAAATGAAAATGTGTAAAATTACACAAACACCAGGTGATGTCAACATTAAATTGAAAGTCTCAATGTTTGGTCAATGGCCAAACTTAGGACTCAAATTGATGGCCTGTGATGTCTTTGACAGCACTGAGCGTCATTTCCATTTGATGAGGGTTCAATATTTGCTTCGGTGTGTGCAACAAGTGTGACTCACATAAATACACACTCACACACACAAACATACACACACACACATACAGAAACACGAAATTAACGCCTACCGTTTTCAGTTATCAAATTGTTCAAACAAAAGTCTAACCAAAGTTTGTACCTAAATTAATTGAAAGGACTTTGTCCGTCTCCAAAACAGCTCCTTCCTGTCCATAAAGTTCGTAACGAAATTGATGTCAGCCTTTAAGAAGCGGCGAAATGGAAAGTTTCACCTTTAACAAGAAATACTTTGACCGAAGACAAATTTAGAAAACGTCAGCCCAAAAAAATAAATAAATAAATAAACACGAAAGTAATTAAATTAGTTTAAAATTATATTCCCACAACGTTGACGAGACCAACACAGCCTATATATGACTAATATTCAACTGGGGCCATATTGTGCCACAGCCAACTAAAACCTTTATTATCCCTGTTCAGCAACGATGTCAGATGCTGGGCTCCGTGTCCTTAGGTGAAGTTGCTCCTTCTGTTGCTGCAATACCAGCATTCTGTGCAGCTATAAGAATGCTTTGTCTCTGCGCATTGGACTGGGCTTTCTTTTTGTCACCTATGCGTGTGAATGCCTCGAATACTTGTGCTCGGTTTGAATGCATTTGCGTGAATACGTAGATGTTGAACTACTTATTTGCCAGCAAATGCTGTCTTTGTAAATGGATGCGTTTTTGTCTATGAAACTTCTGCGTAGCAAATATTCATTTACACACAGGCAAACATTTCTAAAGCACGACAAACTTAGAATTTGTCCTATGAGAAATGAGCCGAGGAAATGAAAAAAGTTGTATTATATAAGCTGGCGCTGTTGGCTACAAAATATAATCGTTCAGTCCTCATCATTATTCATTAATTCAATAGACTTTAAAGAGCTTAATATGCTAACATTTTTAACCGATTTACCTTGTAAATCATTACTCATTATTATTGCGAACTTTTAACTCATTCTTTTGTATTGCGCATTCTTAAAATATTCTCCAACAATTCCCACAGCTCCATTTCCCATGTTTCCCGTGCAGCCGGAAGATTCCGCACGGCATGAGCACTCACCACACGTATTCACAGTCGCACCCAGACTCACACTCATCACAATCAATCATTTATTCATTAAGTCATGGTCAATCGTCCGCTCACTGAATGCACAAACTTTATACGCAATCAATTCGACAATTTTAATAAAAATTCTTACGTTAAATTACGCTCAACAATCAATGGGAGGAATTCAGTTCACACCCAAAACCAGCAACCCACTTGTCGCTGTCATTGTCGAACTGTTGGCCTAAGTGGTGTTAAGTATTTGAAAATCTGTGCTATTCTATGCTATATTCCCATTGCCTCTCCTGTGTCCTGTGTCCCCCTGTTCGGTTCTGTGCTATTGTGTTCTGTACTTGGGCTTCGCTTTGCGGCCGTTTTCCGTTTTATTGTTTTACGACAGTTGGCCAAATACTTTGGCTTGCAAAACTTTTGCGCCTGATGGTCATTCATTTGTCTGTGATTTACGAAGACCAGTCCTCCAGTCCTCCTCACCGCGACACCCACAGCTAAACGCAACTCAACTAAACTCAGATGGGCCCACCCAGTTAGAAACTTGACTAGCATTTAGTGCCATTGATTTATTGCTTCAGTACAATCACCTCAAATCTGCTCGTAGCTCTCGACAAATCCATGCGCGCGCACCAGCTGCAAATCCCTCACGCAGTGCTCCATTGGTGTGACTATACATAGGGGTTTCCGGCCGCTGAAATAGCCACTGGCAGCCCGAGCATAGTTGACTTGATTAGTGTGCAGCCAGTTGGTCAGCTCGTCAAGGCATGGGCACTGCCAAGGATTGCCCTCTATGCTAATGCGGCGCAACTGCGATAGAAGCGGCTCCTCCAATGCAGGCAGGAAGGTCAGCCGATTGTTATGAATTTCCAGCTCTGTCAGCTTGTCCAAGCAGGTCAGCAGATCCTGATCGAGTTCCATGAGATGATTCTCGCTCAGCGTCAAAACCCGCAGACGACGCAGTGGCGCAATCATCCGGATGTCCAATGAAATCAACTTATTGCGCCTGAGTCGTAGCTGCTGCAGAAAGGGCAGTGAGGAGAGGGCCAGGGGATGCAGTTCCTCAATGTGGTTGTTGCTCAGATCGAGATAGCTTAGTTTTCTTAGCACCCAGCTGCCAAACACATTGGCGCCCAATTGCCTAATATTATTTTTGCTTAAATCAAGCAGCTGTAAGGCCGTCAAATTGGCAAAGACCTCATCGGGCAGCACACAAATTTTGTTGCCCTGCAACTGTAGCGATTGTAAGTTAACTAAGCCCCGAAAGGCTGTTGGCGAGATCATGCTTATCTGATTGAACCAGAGATTGAGTGTCTCCAGTTGCTGCAGCCTGCTAAACACTTGATTATCAAGCACTTTAACATTGTTGGAGCTGTAGTCGAGCAAACGCAGCAATGGAGTACGATCAGGACCTGGACCGCCGAATAAGTTTCGCTGAATTTCATATATGTTGTTATTGGATACGTTCAGCACACGCAGTTGGGGCAGAACATTGAAGATGCTCGCATCCAGAACTTCCAGCCAATTACTGTGCAAGTGCAGCTCCTGCAGCTGGGGCAGTCCTCGCAGTCGGCACCACTTGAACTACAACAAAATACAAATGACTTCATTACCAAGAGAATATACAAATTTGCTCAACTTACATTTTTAATATTGTTGTTGCTAATGGACAAATAACGCAGATTGGCATTAGAGCCCAGAGTGATGTTCTCCTGTTCGTTAGTGGTCAGATCAAGAAACTCCAAGTACTTCAGATCCTTGAAGGCGTCCATCTCCACGTTGGCTATGAGATTATTTGAGAAGTTTGCGTGCACAAGATTTGGCATTTGCCTCAAAAGATCTCGTTCAACGCGCAGCAAATCATTGTGGCTAACATCCAAACTGATTAAGGCCGCGTTGTTGTCAAATTGCTTGGCTTGCAGCTCCTCCAGTTGGCAGTGCGACAGGTTGAGTCGCTGTAGCGAAGTAAAATCGCTGAAGCCACGTCTGCCCAGGGTCAGGCCTCCAGACTGTGACAGGTCCAATTGCCGCAGCGTTGACAGCTTGGGGAGCGGTTCGTCATCGTTTTCAATTGCCGTATGCTCGTTAATAACCTTAATGTTTTGCCAATCCGCTTGTATGTAGTGGCAGAGTTGCTCAAAGTTTTCAATTTCGCGACAAACATAGTTTTGGTGTGCAACGTGTTCACATTCCTGCACATCTTTTGCATGTATTTCACAAAATACGAACAGCAGCGCAAGAATAAGAGCTCGTCTCGACAGCATCTTTATCACAAATGAAACAGTTACCTAAAAATACAGAGCGTAGCACTGTGTTTATTTTTAAGCGTATAAAAAACTTGTTTTTATACTCCATTTCCAACCTGTAGCTGTCAGCTTATCAACCGGTTTCGATGCGTCTGAAAGCAACCCAAAAGACTGCATGGGAACATATTTGGCAGGTAGAAAGTAATCGCTCCGAAAGAAAGGATCTTTTAAGGCAAACTGCAGTTGTTAATTTAAGAAGACGTCCTTTAATGTGAATAGTTAACACGTCGTAGTTAACTTGTCGTTTTATTTTGATTATTTTATTTAACTGACATTGAAATTACTTCATAAAATAAATGTACATGAGTTTCCATGTGTATATATATGTATATGTTCTATATATAACATTCAACATGTTTTCTTTTTTAGTGTAAATAAATACATTCATTTATCTGCAAACTCTCAATATTCTTCACAAGTACGCATTTATCCATAATCAAATGTTGAACATTCTTCCAATATTGCCGATCATATTATATAATATATTTTTGATTATTATCAGGAGTTTAAAATTTCGAAAATTGTTTCGTTATGCCAAAGAATGTGCTGTGCGCTATTGATTCAGCTGGATAAACGGTTACATTATATATATATATATATATATAAATTCATATATTTGAAATATATTAAGACACAAATACACATAGTTAAAGTACATTGTTGACTCTTTTCAGAGATTTCGATTCATTGTAATGTAAATGTACAAAAATTCATTAAGATAGTAGTCGTCGTATATTAATAAATAATAATAAAAAAAAAATAATAATATAAAAAAAATATAGCAAATAAACAAATCCTGAGATTAACAAAATCCTTCCGATGTGGCTTGTAGCCAAATTTGGATAAAAGTAAGAGTCAATAATTTGGTTATTTCAAGAATGCAGCAGCTTTGGCCATATCAGACTAGTACGCGATAGTGCACTGGAAATATCTTATATCTGCTAGTTTGCTACATAAATTTCAAGCAAACCTCACAGCAATTCCATAAGGGTTAGAACATGCCTGGACGATCAGTCTCCCGATTGCCGCTCTTTTCAAAGAACATTGCATCCTAAAATAAATGAAATACAAAGATTATCAATTTGAAATGATTCAGTATTATGGAAAATGCTTATTATCTAGCATATTCAGAGTAAGCTCGGATTGTGATGGGGTATATTAGTAAAGTTTTACCTCAACGCCAACGAAGTCTGCGATGCAGACGACTCATGAGTTTAAGGCGAAAGAAATGAATGCTGTACGACTGAATGTGCGATTAGTGTTTCAAATTTGCTATATAATTAAAATTGAGGTTGCTTACAATGAGGAACGTGGCGCCAAGCAGCACGGCTTTCATGCGTACATCCAAATCCATTGGAAAAGTAAGGCCAAAGAAATCGGCATCCGTGAATATTTCACGTGCCAATCCTGACCACTGCTTGGATATTTTGCCCACCTTCTCCCCGGTAAGAGAGACCACCTGCGAAGCAATTAAAATGATCAATTAATAGTCTGTTACAGGATCAGAGAACTTTAGTACTAACATTGAACTCCACATCGCCGCACATCGAGAAGGTGCACATGGGACCCTCAATACGCAAGACCGTGTCGCCAATGTGATTCAAAATGCGAAATGATGGCGAGCAAATGGACCACTCCTGTTCGATAGAGCCAATAACATTGCCCGGTGGCGCTGTCACTTCCATTGTCTGCAGGCAGCAGGGGAAACAGCAGGCAGAGCAGGCCAATGGACGGTGAACATGGATGACCTCTTGCTGGAAATTGTCAAAGATTTTCATATCGAAGGGGCGTGCCGGACCGCACATGTTGCGGGTGCAGCAATCGGTGTCCTCCACCGCATAATAGACCTTCTGGCCAAGCGCGTTTTTGATTGAGAACTTATTGTTGGTCTCGAAACCAGTGAAGGCCTCGAGCAGCTCCACCTTTTGCTTAACTAAAAGCTGGTCGATACTCGTAAGGTATTCCAATCCGCGCGGACAGTTCGGAATTCCTGTAGGTATACTCATCCAGTCGCCTGTTTTAAAATACAACAAATAATCACATCATCGATAATTAAATTGTTTGTTCTTTCAAAATCATATCACATCAGCATATGTGTGTGTGTGTGGGTTAGTTTTAAAGCAGAAGAGCGTGTCAATTGGTCAATGTCGTTGTGTCATCGTGCCAATTGCTCAAATGCCCAATTGAAGGCATTACAATGGACAATGGCAGACCACGACTACGACCACGACCCGCACCGTGGTTTATTGGGCTGCTTACGCCAATCAACGTCACTTTTATATCTAATCTAATTTGCGAACTTAGAGTGGCAGATAACGTTAACGACACTACCGATATATATCTTAAGTCCATGCAAAGTTATAATTTCATCACAATGACTTATATAAATCTCAATCTCAAAACGCTATCTTTGGCACGTCTAACAAGACAGCTTTACAAAGCCCCCTGAAATTGCACAAATATTATGCGTTGAGTGGGCTTCAATAAGCTGTAAATAAATTAGCCTTGAGCAGCCAATTAAGGTTTGCTCACAAGCCTGGGAGATCGTCGCAAGCTGACCATAAGGATCAATCTCACCTTCTATCCTCATCGCTTATGTAGAACTCGTAGCCCTTGCGCTTGGCCGACTTGTTCAGTCGCATTGTGTGACGAAACTTCTTGGGCAGGGGTTTGTTGGCCTCGCGGCAGACCAACTGCTTCAGCGTCTGGGATCTTGTGCAGAAATAATTGTACTTGCTGTACAGCGAGTGCCAAATGAAGCGTAACACTTTGGAGCCACTGCTGGCACCAGCAGCACCACCAGTCGACGATTCCCTTTGATCGCCCGATTCGTTTTTAGTCAGATCCAAGGTCGAGATGTAATTCGAGCTGGCTGCTGCAACTGCAACTGCATCGGGAACTGGAACTGCTGTTGCATCTGACATCGTAAGCGCTAATTGAATTTAAGGGGTTTGTTGCGACTGCTCTCGATGCTGCACCGAGTTGAACTGATGCTTGTGCCTGGGAGAGGGCACACAAATGGACAACAGTTGACAGCGCGTCGCGCCGGAAAAATCATCGTAGTCAAGCAAGCTGAACGTGTTTTTAAATAGCGCTTTGTATTATTTTATTGGTTCAATTAAAGCAAACGCTTCGCCTCATGATAAGAAGAAACAGCGGGTTGGCTTTTTTTGGATGATTCGCTGATATATGCATAAATATATATATATATTTATGTATATATATGGGGGGTCGTCAGCATGGGGGAGTGCAAGCACAAACAAAAACATCTTGCTTTTGTTAGCTCATCGTGATTAGAGATATCACCCTCAAATATATCTCGCTAACAGCTCGAGTGTAAATATTTACAGATCTGTTTTGGGTGCTAAGACAAAGTTTACTTGTAGTTTACCGCTCGCGTCCACTCAGCGAGTATCTCTATCTAGTATCACTCGAACCAGCATTCGGTGTGGTTGAATGGCACCAAAGATGCGTCCTCGTTGTGGACTTGGTATAATCACAATTACAGTACATTGACACCGATTAACGCTCAACGCTCTCGTCTGCGTCTGTTTCAATTGATTTTATTTGATGCCGATGCGGAATTGTGATTGTTAAAATGCTGCCAACATCTGCAATTGCAGCAGTGTGTGTCTATATAAAAAATACATCAGAAGCACAACTCACCAGCTGGACCAGCTACGCCGCCCATGGCGGGCGGTCCAGGCATACGAGGCTGTTGCATTATCACCGGCTGAGGTCCTGGTCCATATGCTTGCGGCGGACCAGCTGGTCCTGGCGGATACTCAAATGAATGTGGAGCACCACTACCAGCGCCAGCGCCTGCGCCAAAAGGTGCTGATCCACCGCCATAATAGACATCTCCGTAAGGTTGCGCTTGAGGCACTGGAGCATAACCACCTCCTCCTCCTGCTTGATGTGGCTGTGGCGGAGCAAAACCCTGAAAACAAATAATTGGTTTTAGCGGAATGTTTGGTCAATTGTCTCATAAAATAATTAGGGGCGTTGGTGAGCTTGCACCTTCTCTGAACTCTCCATTACTACTAAGTGCAAGATATGGAAATAACATGAACTAACATAAGTTTCAGCATATCCAACAGATAAGCATTTGAAGTGTTAATCTCGTACCAGTTACAAACTGCATACAAAACTGTTGAAATTGCATTCAGCATATTTCTTACTTGGGGGATATTGGCAAACTGAACTTTGAAGATAAGCAAAGAAAGCAAGCAAGTCAAAACATGATGTCAGACCATAAATGATTGCGTGCAAATACAAGTATATAAATATAAAATAAGAATGTATGTATACATCATATATACACATATATATGTATATATGTATGTATGTATGTATGTTTGTCAACAGTTGAAAGTTGGCAACGCCCCCGAAAATCCGAATTACTCACATAGGCTAATGGCTGCGGCTGCGATCCTCCGTGCTGTGGTGGAGGATACTGTGGCGCATAGGGTGGTGCGTTGGGTGCACCACCTTCGGATGGTGGCGCATTTGGTGGATAATAACCGGGTGGGACGTAGCCACCTTTATTAATGTTGTTCATTTTGTTGTTGTTCTTTTTGTTTTCGTTGTGCGTTTCTGTTGGAAGCAACTTGGGTCGACAGCACGCTGCAGCTTTCTACAATTGTTGAAATATTTGGATTGAGCTGCGTTTGTTATTCGATTAATTACTTGCCAAAAACTTGTTTGCTGCTTTTGTTTTTTTATTCAACAAATCTCAACCACACAAAATTATAGCCAACTAATGGGACTGAAAGCTATAAAGATCAAAATACCAAAAGTGCTAGGAAATATCGCATGTAACTATCGATATATCATTCTGGAAACAACTGTCAGCACTGTCAGCTGGTACCTGAAATAAACATTAGATGCCGCCACTGTATTATAAGTTTGAAATACAGATGGCATAAGGTGGGCTAGTACTGATGCCGCACAACAGATGGCGACTAAAGAGCACAAGATGACTTAAATTAAAAGTGTAACTTTAAAAACTGAACTTGAACTGAATTTATTCCAAGTTTGTGTTGCATTAGTTTGAGCAGAAGTATATGTAGCTGCCGAAATGAACTCAAGCTTGAATACACACAAATTAACCTAAAATGGAGCAATTGATTTGCAATTTTGATACTGAGAATCCAAATCGAATGTTTATTAAATAATAATAAAATATATTTATTCAGTGTTGCCATGCAAACAAATGAACAATGTACTTTTATCTACTCTCTTCTTTTTTTTTTTGGTATCAACAAAAAACCGCCATTTTTTTTTTTATTTCTTTTTTTCACAGAGCCCACATATTTTTTTCTAATGCGCAAATTTTGTGCGAGAGTGCGAGGGAGAGAGGGTGAGAGAGTTCGTCAGGGTGCGGGTTGGCTGAGGTCGAGGCTAGAGCGAGATGGCGACAGCTGTATATGCCAGTTGTGTGACAGGCCTGAAAGAGAGGGTGGCGTATTTAGGGCGCATAAAAAATGGCGGTTTCCGTTGCCGGCAAACTGAGAAGCAGAAACAACAACAAAAAAAACACTGCTGCCCTGTGTGTGCGCGTGTGTGTGTGTGAGTAAGCGAGAGAGGCCAGCAGAAAAAAAGCAAGCGAAAAAAATGTTGGACAAAAAAAAACGTTGGCAAAATCCACCCCAAGGCAGGGACAGCAAACAGACGTCACTCAAACACACACATACACACACACACCACACACACACAGAGAGACGGTTACATCGTAATTACCAATACGAATGCAATGCGCAATGTAGAAATCATCATGATGAACACCCACCCCAACCACAGCATTTGCGGGGTGGCCTGAAATGAACCCTCGGAGCGGGTCAGGCCAAATGGCAAAGCAAAGCAAAGCAAAGTAAAAGCAAAAAAAAGAAACAAATTGCTGAAATGAGCGCCTTAATGCGCCATGTAAAGCGATATTAATGCAGTTGCATATATGTCTGTCTGTCTGTGTGTGTGTGTGTGTGTGTGTGTGTGTGTGTGTGTGTGTGTGGGTATGAGTTTAGCACATTCAATTAGTTGCCATTGCTTTTTGCATGGCAACAGCAACAGCAAAATAACCAGCAAGTCAGAGAGCATTTTTGCGGTTGGCAACCAACACAAAAGCTTCAACTGCACCATCCCCATAAAACCCATACAACCAACCAACCAAGCAACCACCCAGCCACCCACACATGACCTCGACCTCAACTCTTTTGCTGTTGCTGTCGTCGGCGCTGCTGCTGTTGTTGCTGCTGCTATTGCTGCTGCTGCTGCTGCTGCTTCTGTCGCTTCAGTGCATCAAAATCTCGAAAAATCAGGCAGCCGGCAAACATAATGCAGCTTCCAGAGACAGAGTTGCATGCGGGTGACCCTTCCCCTCTCCCTTCCCCTTCCCCTTTCCATTCACCTTGTGTAAATGGTAGTGCGGTGGCAGGTGCAGGTGCAAAGGTAGCTGCAGCGTCGAGTGCCAAAAATTCCTCATCTCTGTTAGCTGCTCATTAGCCGCTGTTTTTTCGCCTTTAAACATTAAAAACTACAAATTTGTTTGGCCAGCCTTCTTATATGATCTTTCTGGTTATTTATTGTCAGCACGATCTAATTTATGTGTGTGTGTGTGTGTGTTTGGATCGCCGTTATCGAAAGCAAAAGTTGCCTTCAAGTGGACAGCGCTGCCATAAATCAAGTCGCCAAAAGATACTCCCAGTCGGAGACGGAGTCGCAGTCCGAAGCTTCTATTGTCCACGTTCCCAATTGATAGATGGCTTTCGGCTTGAGAGGGTTGCGTCCAGCGGACAGGTAGAACGACAGCTCAGCCTGTGGGAACATCTGCTACCTGATGATGTTACTGGACTGATATCAGTCCAGGGAGCACAACGCAATGTGAAAGATATTTCTTTTGGCGCGTGTTCTAAGGAATTTTGAATAATTTACATTTTAATGTGAATATTTCAAGATTTTTGGACATACATATCTTGCAACTTTAAGGTGTTTAAATTAAGTTCAAATTTATCGCCTTTCTTAACTAGATATGCAGATTTAGATCCAACCAGATATGTTAATTTCACAACTAGACATTAAAACCAAGATCTAAATAGATATGTAGATCAAGCTAAAAATTAACGATGAATGTTGTTAAAAAATGCGATAAATTTTCACTCACTTAAATACATTGAATAATTTCTCAAGTTTACGACAATAAATTCAAATATATTTAAATAAATATGCAAGACAACAGAAACAAAACTCAATTCAAACGAATATAAGTAATTTATAATAATATATAATATAATATAAATATATAGAATTAAGATGTGCTGCGAGGAAGTATTAACTAACTAACCATATATTAGATACCTGTTCAAACTAGGATACTCCCAGGAAAAGAAAGAAAGAATATAAAAGTTTATAAACGACTGTAATTAACACATATAAAAGTAAAAGAAAAAACACTATTTTTATTAGCAGAGCTCGCTTTTGCATCATTAATTTAATTATTAGTTGAATATAAATGCGGTGTACTTAAAATTGATTAATTAAAATATATAAATATCTATTAAAATAGAATCCAATAATATGCTAATAAAACAAAAATACCAATTCAAAAAATGTTGCAAAATCTGATTCGAAAAGTGGATACCAATCCACAAAGCAAATAAAATGCACATTGTGCTGGGTCAGTGATGTTGTTGCATGTGTGCGAAATGCCGCGGACAGCGAAAAACAAGTGCAGCATAAATGTGTCAATGTGAAGGACAACAACAAAGAGAACAATAACAGCAACAGCAACAGCGACAGCAACAACAACAGCAGCAATTACAACAGGAAGATTGTGGGAACTGCATTTGGCTAGCCAACCAGCAGTTGGCTCAATGGGTGCGCAGCTGTTGTCAGCCAAAAACAAAATATAAAAGATTTTTGCACGAGGTCATCTGCACATATTGCCAATGCAATCACGTTAAAGAATGACCGGACATGCACACACACACACACACACACACAGACAGAGACATACACACATGCACAGACGGAGGCAATAAAACATGCAAGGACACCTGTGATTCCATGGGAATTGCACAACTTGCTTGACCTGGGTCATGGTTCGCTCTGTTTTTTTTTTGCGTCCGTCTGGTTGGATGGCAGAGGGGGTGAAAGTGCTTTTAGCTTAATTACTTAATTAGCACTTACTGGGCGAAAGGTCAAGCCCGGACGAAACTGGGTCAGCAGCGGCAAATGGCGTAAAAGGAGCTGCAAAAGGGCTTATGTACAACGCAAATCTTAATGAGTTTTCATTTCACCTCTTTTTTTTTATTTAACCCGTCCGTTTTCTAATTAAAAGCACAATGACCCGAAACGTCGACCCTTTTTGCCGGCATGTTTATGAGACGGCACGCACTTGAAGCGGGGGCGGATGAAGGGGTGAGGTGGCGAGGGGGCAAGGGGGTTTCTGGTGTGGGGGTTTTTTGAGCTGACGCGCAATTAATTATCGAGTGTTGAACTTGAACTTGGCGCCACGGACAGCCAGCGAGGCCAAACTGATTTTAAAGAGCGCCCTGACATTTATTGATTTTACCACCGAGAGACATAGACAGAGGCAGAGGCAGAGACAGAGCAAGGGAGACGGAGGCAGGGAGAGAGGAAAGGGTTAGCTCTTGGTCTGGTGGCCACATGTCATGGCCAAACGATTTAAATCAAAACCGACAGCAACACAAAGCGCGACTCGAACGCGCTGTTTGTGTTTGTATTTTTAGATTTTTTTTTTAACCCTTTCGCTTTGTTGTGTGTGTAGCTGCGGACCTTGGGCAGACCTTTGACAGGATGCTGCTACACGGTAATTGCTTATTTAAGCGCGCGTTCGTCCTTCTACGGGATGCCAGGATGCTGGCACAAAAAAAAAAACAGAAGAAAAAGCGCTCACAAAACAAAGCAAATGCCGCGTGTAATTATTGGACGGGTCGAGAGGCAGGTCGAGGGTTTGGTGGCTGAGTAGCCAGCCAGCCAGCCAACCAGCCAGCCAGCCAGCCAGCCATCCGGGCAGCTGTCTAGCCGGCCTCTGACCAGAACCATCCCGAAATGAACTGCAAATCAAACAAGAACTCAACACGAACCGCATGCGTGCATATTAAAAATGTTTTAAAATGAAATTTCGGCAACGGCGACTCTTTTTTATGCATACTTCAATCTGCTGGAAAGGGTTAAGGCTTTTGTTGTGCAGCCAACTGTGAGCAGAGGTCCTCTGATCCTACCTACAAATATGCATATGTGTGTGCGTGTGTGTGTGGTCATGAACGGGTTTGCAGCTGTCGTTATCTAGTCTGGGCTATCGCTGACTGGCACTGCTTGAGCTTAAGCCCAGGGGTCAGCCGCATGTGTTGATCGATGCCCGTTGCACGTTGCACGATGAGTGATACTCGATGGACTACGGATGACTGCGGGCCGAGAGCAGCGAGTGCTTTTATTTGTGTTGGGTTTTACAGCCTGGCGCGTTCGGCTTAATGATAAGCAATTAAAGCGGTACAAAAAAGAAACGAGAAAATTTTGAAAAATCTAACAACGGTTTTGGTTAACAACTTAGTAATAACAATATGTGTGGCAGAAAAAAGTGGTTGCTTCAACTGTGGCCATAAATTGTAACGAGTTTGCCGTTTGGTGGGCACGAACAAACATACGGGCAAAATATGCTAGAGCATTTTTCAATTTTAATGACACCAATCGAAGGTAGAACTTGGCTGACACGAG